TAATACGAGCTCAAAAAAGTCGGCTGCAACTAAATGTCCTATTGAACCAGCACCATGGAAGCAGTATGATGGAAACAACCGTCTGTATCGAAGTGTCGAGAAACTCCAACAAAAGCCCCAAACTCAGTTCTAACTATTTATGGTGAAATCGAGAAAAGGTTGGCAGAACTCGAGTTCAAGAATTCAGGAAAGGATCGCAGAGCCCTTAAACAAATACTTGAAACAATGCAGAAGCATAAACAGATATTAGAGACCAGAGAAGAAGGCCAAGATTCAAATTTTGTATCTCATACAAACAGCATCATTGCTGTGAGCTCAGAAGCACCAAATTTGAGAAAGCTAAAACGAAGCAATGCAGTGTCGGCAACAGTTAAGGGAACTAGTTCTCCAACAAGCCTTAAATCATCTATCTCCGTTGTCAAACCAGTAAAAATTATGGAAAATGCCAGCAACTGTGCTTCACCGGTACGCAGGTTAAGAAAGCTTCGCTTGATTACCCCGGCGGATAACAGAAGCGGAACGGTTGACAAGAGTTCATATAAGGATTTGACTCCAAGACCTAATCATCCTATGGAACCTTCCAGTCGACTCCACTTGATGGACAAGGGCACTGCCAGAACTCCAAAATTCAACCAAACTTCAAAAGAGCCGTCTCCTACTGCTCGAGAAAATCCTAAGCTGGCAATAAGTTCAGAAACTGCATGCCTCAAACTGCAGAAGAAGAGGCTTGATCTGGAGAGGCAGTCTTATTGCACCAGTCCAGCATCGGATCGGGGAAGAAGCAGAAGGCAACCAAGCAGGCTACAATCAGAACCAGGCTTACCACATCGAAAATCCAGGAAACCTCAGCAGAGAAGTGATGACCAATTGAGTAATATCAGTAGTGATATGAGAGATTCAAATCAGCAAGGAGATGTTTGTTCAATGAGATCAGAGAGCTATATGAGTGCAGCCTCCTATGGTGACATCGAAGTCACGAGTGCTGACAGATCCCAAAAACATGAAAACAGGCAGAATGTAAGGCTTCTTCCTTCTTTTTCAATCATATTAGTACCATGATCATCCATAAACAGCTTATATTTTTATCGTTCAGAATACAACAGCAAGGTCTGGTAAAGGTTATTCAAACGCAGAACCTCCAAGAACTGTGCCGGATCAACGTAGTCCGGTCTCCGTTTTAGATGCCACATTTTATGGTGACGAATCACCATCTCCCGTGAAGAAAAAAACACGTGTTTTTAAAGGTGAATCTTCTATATTCCTTATGACAATATATATAAAGCATAACATACACAAGTTAAGAATTTTGTATACCTATCTATAGAAAACAAGAACATTAGAGGAAGCTACTACCTATTTCTTACAAGAGGCTTGACCAGTTATAAAATTAAATCTTTTTATCATTTTCTTTTATGACAGATTATGAGGGTCTTGTCCCTGATGAAGCAGACTGGAGTCCAACCAGTCTCAGGTTCGAGACAGATAATGGGGAAGCAGAAAGCACCCAGCACTTGGTGCAGAAAGTTGTGAACTTGGATTCTATCCGTGATTGGTCAATTATCAATGAAATTGCTCCCGTTTGCAATAGTCCAAATGCAGACCATCAATACATTGTAGAAGTATTGTTGGCATCTGGTCTCCTCAATGAACTGGACTCTGGCTTCATGGCCTACCACCATCGTCCATCAGATCATCCGATCAATTGCAACTTGTTTGCTTCCCTAGAAAAAAACAAGGCAAGCATTAGACTCCTAGATGGAAATTACAATGGCAGAAAGATCAAACAGTTAGAGCTCATTGATAAGAACCACAGGAAGCTTATATTTGATGCAGTTAATGAAATCCTACTTAGAAAATTTGTGAAGGAAGGATCTTACAAGCAGTGGCTCTCACCAACGGAGGATCCAAGACTGAAAAGACAGCAGCTTGTAAGAGACTTACGTTCAGAAATAGACAAACTACAAACGGTACCAAATATAAGCTTGGATGACGACGACTACGACACTCCAAAAAACATCTTATGGGGAGAACTGACGCACGGATCAAAGGAGTGGACCGAGAATGGAAGTGAGATTCCATGTTTAGTACTAGATGTGGAAAGGTTGATCTTCAAAGACTTAATTTGTGAAGTTTTGTCAGTGGTGAAGCAGCAAGCCAACAAGTGCACCCTGGTGGGCACTGCAGACGACTGTTTTTGAAGTAGGATTTGGAATCGTAATGTATTTCAACATTTCTTCTCTTTTCCATCTTTCTCAAATTCTTTTGGCCTGTAGTTGCATAAGAACTTTGAATGAAACTTGCCTTGATGACACCATGAAAATTAAGAAGTCAGTGAAATACAGGTAAAATCCGGATTATGTTTACTCCTAGCCTTCACCATTCTGCATCAATCTGTGGAGTATTTTATATTATATGAAGGTAGGTAGGGTCGTATAGCCTCGAGGCCTATTACAATATAACTGATCCACACTGTAAACCCCATCTCAAAAGTCTGCATTCATTAGACCTGGATTAGTTGCCCTTCGTTGAATGCTCCAAATTTAGCTTCAAGGAGCCCTTAATCCCATGGTTAAATAAATAGTGCAATTGCCTTTTTAGTCACTTCCAAAGTATTAATCACAGAATCTATCCCCTTGCAGCTCTTTAGTTAAAAGGGAAATTTTATTTTGGACCCTCCCAAAAATTAATAATTCAACTTAAACCATTTTAATATTTCTTTTTAACTTTAACACCAAAACATTTCAAATCTTGTTTCAGTCCCACAATGTAAAATAAGCATAATGTTAAAATTTATCTTCAACGTCTATTATTTCTTTTTGAAGCACTTTAGCATCTAATGTATCATTTAAGGATAAAATATCTCTTGGTTGGATGAAAATCGTTAGTTGACTGATTATCAATGTTTGTCGTCGACATACCAAATTCTATGTATGCAAAATGATGACATAGTATGTCTCATCATCACTTATGTACATGTAATATGTGATATGTGTCACATTATTACTTTAAATATATAATATGTGTCACATCATCATTTATATACACGTAAAATTTGTTCCGTCAATGACAAATATTAAAGAAAAAAAAAGTTGCTAAAAAGGAAATTCATATAAGTAACATTAGTTATATTTTGTAATAGGGGTTTTTCCCTTTTTCTAATCTATGTTTCTCTCAATAATTTTTTACCGTATTTCTTTTTTCTTTAATTTTTGTTTCATCGATGACGATAGTAATTTTGATGTTGGTTGTCGACCGCCGATGATTATTAATTATCTTATTTTTTCCATACTATGTCTTTTGTTTTCCTTTTTTCTTGAGTCTTTTCTTTAAATAATAGTCTTTGTCCTTGTAACACACATTTTTTTTTACTTTTGTGACACGATCCTTATGGCTTTTAGTACATTTTTTGCATACCTTTGTTGTTGTTATAAAAAACGATATTTGTTTTCTGATTAGTTTATCGGTGATCAAGTATAGTCAAATCCCTCTTGGGTAAAATGTTATTTGTCGATATAATCAGAATTATATAGCGAAGTAGCCTTCCAGATAGTTTGGTTTGCTCACCACTCTTGATTGCTTTGTAAAGCGCCTCGTTCGATAGAGAGAATGAATTTTTATGAAAGTTACTGAGTTCTTTTGATGTTGGTTGCACGTCACTTTTGAAGGAAGATTTCATTTTTCTTCTTATCTTTGTGTTTAATAATTTTGATTTTATATGAGTTTTTATGGTGATTATTGTCCCCATTATTCTCTCTATGCTTGGATGCATTGTAATTTCGATTCATTCATTTATTTTTATTAACAAAATTAGTTATCATTGTTAAAAAAATATAACGTTAGTTTCAGATCAAAATTTAATTTAAATAGAATTGAATTTTATAATATCGATTCTAATTTTTTAATTTTAAAAAAATTAAATTAAAATTTTTATAAATTTTAGTAGTTTGTTATCATTTGTTAAGAGATGGGAAAAGTTTATATGCATCAATAATAAAGTAAACATAAATACTTAAACTACTTAATATGTTTGAGCAAACACATTTAATCGGTTGATCAATATGTTCATTTTTATTCTTTATATTCTCGTCATGGGTTCAAGACCCATAGGAGCACTCCCCTTCTTTCCCCTCTCCTCTAATAAGATTATGATTAGATTTAGAATTTGTAAAAAAAAAAAACTGCTTAATATGTTGTTCACCTTTTGATTAAAAGTTGTAGTTACTGTACAAACCCTAGAAGGATAGATAAGCGGCAACTGTAATGGCAAGTCCAAGCAGATATTCCAATGTAACAGTTTTGGGTTGGTATAAAGCAATCAAACATTTGCATTGAATAACAATTAAGCAATCCAATAGCTGTGGGGGCAACTGATCATATGGTAGATTGGCAGTTCAAAATTAAAAATGGTGACTGTTATCTGCATTGTGGGGCTGTTTTACTTTTCATTTCTCTTCCAAAGATGAAGGACCAGAGACAATAAATTTACTCCATAGAACACTTCAAATCTTTTTTGTCTCTTCAATCCCTATCTATCTTGAGAACCACAAATCATGTACGTAATGACCAACGTAAGATTTTATGTCCCCTATATATAAAAATATAAAAAGATACTTTATGAAAATTTAAGCTCAGAAATATAATCGCACCCTATGACCCCTATATTCATCCCTATGTATGCATGCTTCATGAAACTTTCGAATAGCGAGTCCTTTTTAACCCTATTTTTCCAACCTCCTATTTCTTCATCATGACATTATCCTGTTGGATCTTGCTCGAGCTTGACACATGTATACCCTCAAAATATTCAGAAGCATCAAAGATCGATTAGAATTATTTCAGTAGTATGGCATTCAAACCTATATACGAAGATCTGATTTTTTCCCCAATCATCCGATGAAACAAAAATAATGAAATCTAAACACAAAACCTTAATTGTTATGTCCCCATAACTATAACTTAGCTGTCTGCTTCTCAGTTCCAGGAAGTAAAATGCCTTTAAATTATGTATGCAAATAGATTCAAACAGTACCTTTCTTGTCATTTAGAAGGAAACTCCTGTTCCTTATCAGGCTGACTTCCACTGCTGGTTTGAGAATGGGGAAACCTAGGAGTAATTCTCAAATGGAAGGGTCTGATAGATTGGCTTATTGAGTACGGTGGCGGGTTAAGAGAACTAGGCAAGATGGTTTGAGCATCTGAGCTGAGCAGTTGGAAATGGTTAACTTGCTGTCTAGGATCAAGAATTTGAGAAGTACTAGATGATAGAGATAATGTAGATGGAGATGGTAAAGGCACAACATTGAAATTATGAAGATCTTCTGTGTTGGAAACAAATCCATGGCTGCAACCAAAACTTGGAGGTTCAAAATGATAGTAAGAACCATACGGAACTGCATTGCTTAACATGTCTTGTTGCTTTTCCTCTTCATTTCTTCTGTTCCTATCATCTTTCTCACTGGTCGTTTCCCTTTCAACTTCTTTGAATTTAGCTCTCCAACATGCATCAGAGTTCCCAAAGTCCGATCTCTGTAATTTGCCTGCAGGATCTTCCGAATCAACGCTGGTACCGGTTTTAAGCCCTTGTTTGTTGGATTGGGAAGAACCGGCTTCTTGGTTAAAGGCAAAGACCCCTTGCGGTGGCCATGTGAGTGGGGGTAGTTCATCGATTTCATGTTTAGCTGCATCTAGCAACCAATCGACAACCTTGCTAGGTTGATTAAGTCCGAGCCTGTCTTGAAGATCATACAATTGAATAGCAGTGGGAACTGAAAGCCTCACCCTTCGGTCTCTCAATCCTCTAATGGTGCAAACTTTACTGTGTCGGTCTTTCCCCCCAAAGGCACGAGAAACACGTACGACTCGTGGATCCTTCAATCTTAACCATGGGGAAGAAGGGCTAGATTGGCCTTTACTGCTCAACATCGTATCATTTGTGTTGCTTTGTTGTTTGGTGGAAAAATATGCTTCCTTTGAACTTGCATTCATCTTAGGTCTCTCTTTATTGAAGCATAAGACAGCTGAATGCCTGTTTACTCACCATATAAAAAAGAAGATCCCAATTGTTCCTCAAAAGAAATAGAATACAAAAACAAAATTCATAGAGTAGAATCCTGAGAAGAAGATTTCAGTCAATAGCTACTAACTTAGATCACCGTATGTGTATATATATGTATGTATCTAATCCTAATTTTCATATCCTTTTGTCATATAGAAATTAAAGCTCAGACTAGCTAGGCTTGCTTGATCAGTGTACAAGAGAAAGCTATGACAAGATGAGGATGTCAAGCAGGTCTATTACTAAAATAGAGAGATCCTAAACAAAGAGCAGATTCTTTTGAAATTTAGAAGTCAATAAAAAAATCATTAGGGAAATCTGCAAATCAATTAAAACTTTTTTGTTTTGAAAAAAAAACATCAAACATTGAAGTATACCAGTTAATGCCCCTTGAACAACCAAACTCGCTGCTTGTATATTGAAAGATCAAAATTTTCTTGCTTTAGAAAACAAAACTTATTGATAAAGTTCTTCCATTTGCGAAAAAAGAAATGAAAAAGAGGAAAGATGCTGGAATTTAACCGACCATTGTCCATGGAAAAAAGAAGAAGAAGAAATTAAAAAAAAAAGCAATGGCAGTAGGGTTGCCACGTGTCACGTTTCACCATATGTCAAATTCCTCCCTTACAAGCATATTAACAAATAATTAAGACCATTGTCCATGGAAAAAATGAGAATGTCGGGATAGATATAAGATTTTAAATAAATTATATTAAAAATTGAAGAAATGTGAAATTATAAAATTTGAAGAAGTGTAAAATTGGATCATTAATTAAAAAATAAAAAATAAATCTATGAGAATTCAATTTTTTTTAAGGAAAACATCCCTCGATCCATCTCTGGAATTATTGAATTTGAGAAAGCATGATCTAAGCTTAATTATTTATGGATTTGAGAAAGCAAGACTAAGGAAAATGGCGTAGATTAAAATCAATACACCATCATTTCGTTATCCCAAAAACAAAGTAAAAATTAGATAAGAGGGGGACCATGCTGCATATATTTGAAAAAGTGATAGAGGCAAGCATGCTTTATCCACAACTACCAAAGAACTTGCGACTGAATCCCTATCACATGGTGCTGTGAATGCACGCCTAGCTACTACTAGGGAAGATAAATCCTTTGGTTAAGCATGATAAAACCTGTGTTAAGGGGAATAGTCAATTTAATGGTGTTTTGAGAGTTACTTGAGACATTAACAGCTACCTTACAGGATGGAGACCAATGTATTCACTAGAGTTGAAAATAGGACCACCCAACTTTTCTTCAGGGAGGTAGATATGCATCGAGGACCGGCAAGTTGAAGTATCTGGAAACCTAACATTTGAGCCAAAGTAATAATAATTAAAAAAAATATTGAATGGAATCAATTCGTTTGCTCATCTGGGATTTCAATATCATATACCAATCTATTTTTCTATATGTAAAAGTTTCTCATGTATCTGGTATATGATATGAATATGCAATGCATCTTCCAAGACAAGCAAAAATAGAAACCCTAGGGCTATAGATCTTGAGAAACTTTTCAGTCTTTGGGATGTGATCAAATGATTGAAAAGATATGAAAAGATGAAAAACAGTTGGAAAATCTTCTACTTCTTCTTATAGTTGTGCTGCAAATATATACCAAAACTTCTTGTCTGGTTTTTCATTGACTAAGGGAAGTTGTATGTGAATCATTTAATAGATTTTGAGATGAGATTGCATTGCAGCACGCAACTGTCAGTAACAAATGTGATGTACGTATTATATGCAATCATTGAGCCAAGAAGAACATATACATGCAATCTAAGAATGAAAGGAAGATGAAAATGGTAGAAACCAATGAACCCTAATTTTTTTTCTTCAAAAGTTGAAAACAAGTTTTGAATTGTAAAAATATATGAGCTACGAGACATACCTTTCTACCATACAACAATTACTTACACCTTTGTTTCCCTCTCTCTCTCTTTGGGAAGTAGACAAATTTTAAAAATGAGAAGGGAAGAAATTAAGCTCTCAAACCCCCAGAATACATGTTTCTATATAAGTAATATACATATATAATATTTAAGGAATGACTGAGGGCTTAGCTTTTTTTTTTCTGTTACTCTTGGATGATTACGAGTAGTATCTGTTTAAAATATTTTTTAAAATTTTAGAAATGCACACTAAGTAAATACAACTACTTGAACTTGGACCTCAACAACACTCTCTTTTACTGAGAACATTTAATGAATTCGAGTGATTAACATATTTATCTACTCCCCTGTATTAGGTGATAGAATGAATTGGATGATTTTGTTTTAATGGAGTGATTTTTTTTTTTTACTTAGAGAAGAAAGATAAAAAGAAGAGTTATAATTAACTTTGAAGATAATATTATTAGAAAAAGATAATCACGAATTCATTCTAAATATAGATCATAAAACGGAAATATGAAAATATGAGCAGTAGTCATTTTCTTTTTAAATAGGATCTAAGCAATGTTTCTTAAATTTTCTCCGCTTTACTGCTTGTTTACAGGGGAGAAAGAGATAGGTCAGAAAGTTTCATCGACTGATACAAAGCAAAGGTACCATTATTGCTGAATAAATGGTCCCCAAAATCGTGCTTTACATTAATTACTTATGATCATATTTGAGTACTGAATACTGATCTATATTTACTGAGCCCCCAAAAAACATAAAAAGAATACATGTTGATCTTTAGGTTTGCAATGCACAGTACTAAAGTATTGAAAATAGTTTTATTATTTTGATAATAGAAAATCTTGACGAAGAATAGATACAATAAAAACACTAAGAAAAAAGGATCCATAACCCTAGTAGAATACTAAACTCTGATTTAAAGATGACATGCTTCGCAAAATCAAATTAAGATTTAGTTGTGGTTGTAGTTGATGGTCAAAGTATTACAAGTATAGATAGACCAGGAGATGTTTGGGTGCAGTTGCATCTTTGAAAAATTCAAATCATCATATATAATTTAGGTGTTTTTTATTGAAGATTTAATTTTGCATCCCCTAAAATTTTCAGTTTCGCTCGCCTTAAATTTTTAATATAACTTTCTAAATTCACACCTCTTAAAATTTTAATATAATTTTCTATTATGGTACCCCTTGCATAATATCCTACGTCCTCCATGGTTACAGGTTGATCAAACAAGATTGTATTGAATTTTATGTTATTGTTGTGTATCAAGCAGATTATTGGAGATAAAGCTTGGATGGCTTTCGGAGATTTTAATGTGATAGTCTATTCTAGTAATCTTTACTTTTTAGTTCATACTAACACAGTTGAGATGATGGATTTTCAAAGTTGTGTTGAGAAATTTGGGCTGACGGGCCACTTATTTGTAGGGTCTACTTTTACTTGATCTAATCTTCAGGATGATAGACATTTGGCAAGGAAACTAGATAGAGTATCATCAATGTATAAACTGTAGTTACAGTACTAGAACAAAGGTTTCTGCCATTGCTATATACACTTACTTCAACCCTTGTACTTATCATCAATGTAACCAAAAGAAAAGGAGAAAACAACTACTTGATTACACTTGAGATTGAACATCACTCACTCTCAAACTCAAAAGACGGCTCCTCTCTTCTGCTTCAACTATTGGAGTTATTGAATCAGTATCCTGCCCATTACTTGACAAGCTTATTGTTTGGCTTGGGTTTTGCCAGAAGCGGTTTACCAACGTCTTGAATTTTGAATTAATGGATGAGAAGCCGAGATCCGAGAGGAGGTCTTGAACCGAAGTTCGACCTTCCAGCATGCTCACCACCTGTGACATGGTAGGCCTCAGGGTGGGGGATGCATTGGTGCATAAGAGTGCCACATTCAGCATCACCATCGCCTCCACGGATGAGTATTCGGATCCCAAGTCCGGATCCACCAAATCCAACAGACTTCCCCTCTCTCTCAAAACATAGGCCTGAGGAATGACAAGAATGAGAGATGGTAAACATGTTAGATTTACATGGAACTGAACATAAGTTCAGAAGGTGAAAACTATGGCAAAACAGCTAATGCAAAATTACCCAGTCGAGAAGGTAAACAAAGTCCTCGTTCGGCCTGTAGTTTGTGTTGCTCTTTCCGCTAACAATTTCCAAAGCAACAACACCGAAGCTATAGACATCGGCTTAGTTGGTTAAACGACCACGCATTGCATACTCCGGAGCCATATAACCACTGCAGAATCAAAGAGCAAGCAATTAACATATAATGCAAATACTGTTAACTGCATGGTGCATGCATTAAAATCATATAACTAATTAGTCCTTTGCAGACTATTTTCTGGTATATCAAATGCTCTGCAACATTAAACCTGCTCAAGGATTCCTCTAAATGATGTGAAATGTAGAGAAAAAGTTGAATAAGTTATGTTTACTTAGAAGCTTACATAGTCCCGGCAATTCGAGTGCTGATGTGCGTTTTATCATCTTCATTTAGCTTTGCCAGACCAAAATCAGAAATTTTTGCATTGAGATTCTTATCAAGCAACACGTTACTTGTTTTAATATCCCTATGCAGAATTTTTATTCTCGACTCTTCATGGAGGTAGGCCAAACCCCTTGCGATATCAAGGCAAATTTTTTGCCTGGTAGGCCAGTCCAGGTTCAGTTTGAGTGTAGCATCCTTCCCTGTTATTAAGCAGAACGAAAGGCAATCAACATGACTGGTGGATTTCGATCAACTAGTTTATATATCATAAATAATTAGAAGTTGTAACTAACCAAAAAGCGCACGGGATAAACAGTTATTTTCCATGTACTCGTAAACTAATAATAACTGGTTTCCTTCAACACAACAACCATAGAGCTTCACAAGATTCGGATGCTGCAGTGCAGAGATCATGCCTATTTCATTCACGAATTCACGAGTACCCTGCTTAGATTTCGATGACAGCTGTTTCACCGCAATAATTGTTCCATCCAACAATAGACCCTGTATTCAGCAGTGAAAGTTGAGAGTTGAGACTAATCCCCTAGGGGAGTATGATGAACTTTTTAAGAAATGGTCAAAATTAGTATATGATTTGGATATAAACACTTACCCTATACACAGAACCAAAGCCACCCTCGCCTATTTTGTTTTCGGCGTCAAAGTTCTTGGTCGCAGCTTTAATTTGTCTAAGACTGAAAATTCCAGTTTGAAGATCCAAGCCTCTCAGCCCTGTAAAAAAAGCAGTGTTAGATGACCCAGAAGCAAATTTTATACATGATATTGTTATCTATGCTAGCATTGGTGTCGTATATCTGTAACTACTGCAATCAAATTATAGAGCAGAGAAATATGTCGAATACCCTTTTCAGCACGATCTTCGCCTCCCAGCCAACCTTTTCTCCAAAAGACAACTAAGAGTATAAGGGCAATAACTATTGCTGCAGAAGCTGCCCCGGCCACCACTATCTCTATGTGATGATTCTTTTTCCCAACAACAAGCGGCGGTTGAAAGTCTGGTTTAAGAGGAAAATTATTGGCAATCAATGTACTTTATCAAAAGTCACAATTGAATCAAAGATTTAACACAACTAACAACAATTTTATTAGGATCATACTTTAAGCTCTCCAAGAACCACTTCAACTAAACCGGTCTACATGGACTGAATTCAACACAAACGAAATCCTTTATATGGGGAAAACAACGTATCGCTGAAATGCAAGAGAAAAGACATTCTAGAGTTGGCAACAACTTACTTGGAACCACTGATATGGCTGAAATAAGAGGGCCGTACATCCCCCTTGCTGGGATGCCTGTAGTCCCCTTTCCACCCCAATATAAGTGGATTTTTAACGAATTTATTGTCATGACCGCCGTAAAGTTCTTTATAATGGGCTTACCGGCACCACGAGCTGCCTCTTCGATGTTAAAATCTTTCAGCACCAGTTTTCCCTATATTTACATCATGTAAACCCTCAAATTTGTTTATTTTTCTTATATTACTTCATGTATGCTAAAGGGTTTACTTACCTGAATAAAGACATCAAATATACGTTTCCCGAGATTGTAATATGATCGGTCGTTCTTGAAAATAATTTCCGCAAAGTGCAGACTAACAGTGTAGTTCCCCTTCATTAGGCAGAGTCCATAATATGTGAGAGAGAGGGTAGAAATACGCGCTGTTGTGAAGAGTTCTGCTCCGATTGCAGACACATTGGACAAAGCTGAAGTGTTTCTAACAAGATAGTCGTCTGCATCAATATCATTATCCATGAAGTTCCCGGTGCTGCTGAATGCCCAGTTGTGCCCCAAGTAAAGCATAGAAGCACCTCTCGGTTCCCTATCAGCTTCATACTTGCCATCGCCACTGATGTTTAGTTCCTTTCCCCCACAATTAATGTGCAGCGAGTATTTATCTGTTAATAACCAAAAATTCGATGAAATTTAAAAGGTTTTCAAATAAAGTTGACTGAGATCTTTCATCTCCAAAAATCGACTTACATTGACTGGGTGAAGCAGCACATGGGAAGGTCTGTTTTAGACATGGAGGAACTCTACTTCTGCATCAAAAAACAACCAATAAGCGTTTTGAAGAAAACTTAATTAATACCAAACTTCCTAAACACCTCAATAGAATATCATAAATCTAGGCACAAAAATATGCTTACAATGTATTTGCTGTTGTGGAGTAGCTCTCAACCAAATTCCTGGAAAGATCAAGATATGCAAATCAACTATGTTAGTATATCAGTTTATATATATAGGACCAAAGTAAGGTCTGTGAAAAGATAACTCACACGCTCCCTCGAGGACACTCTATCGGACTTGAGGCTTCCCAAGTGAAATTGTTGTAAGATATATCCCTGTAATTCAAGGAAAATGCTGCCCATTATCCGCTGTAATTTCACCGTATGTGGTTCGATTAATAACATTTTTAGTAATATACATACGCATTTTTATTTCTTTGTAGGATCCATCCAGGCACAGTCCCGGTGAGCTGATTTCCAGTGAAATACCTACAAGAAGCAGCAACAAATATTAATAACATATCGCATATTATTGACAATGATATTAAGCTTATTTGACTTCCAAAACTCAATTACATCCTCCTACATGAAATCTGCTTTTGTTAGTTGTTGGAATGATTCTGGAATTGCTCCACTCAAGTTATTATAGCTAAGATCCCTGCAAGGATAACATGATGCTCGAGTAAATTTTCAATTACAAAATGAACAAAGCGGCAGTTATTTGTTTTCAGTACAGCCTCAGGTTGATGCTACTTACAGAGTTTTCAATTTCTTCATATCACCAATATATTCCGGGATTTCTCCTTGTAGTAAGCAGTTCCTTAGAATCCTGCATTAGACAATTGACTTAGTTTTAAGGAATCGACAATTGATCACTACCTATGTGAATATGAAATTATTTACAGAAAAATATATAATATTTAAAAAGATTCCACTAACAGTGTCTTCAGTGAGTGGAGATTATGCAATGGTGGGAAAGGAGATCCTCCGCCTTTTAAGTCACTAATCCTCCTAATAATCATTATTCATAATCAAAATATACATTAATGAAGTCATATTTAAAAAAAGAACCGACATGAACTATCAGGGTTGCATACAGATCAGATAAGTTAGTCAGAGCAGATATGCTGGAAGGTATTGGCCCCTCAAGAGAGCTACCCTGTATCTGCCTGAAAAGGTTGAAATTATTAAATTATATCAAAAGAAACTTAAGAACGCTGTCTAGATACAGGGATAAATTTTGAAAACTTACAGTTTCTTAATGTGCTTCCATTTACCGATGAAATGAGGTATCCTTCCGGCAAAGTTATTGTCATTTATCCTCCTAAACATCACTCACAATTATGATGGTTTTCAACAGCAAAAACAATGCTAAAGACGGCCATAAAACGATTTCAGAAGTCGAAATTATCTACTTACATATCAGTCAAGTTGACCAATTTGGCTAGCTCTACCGGCAGTTCTCCAGTGAAGGCATTTGATGATAGATGACTGAAGACAGAAGATACTAGCAATGTTAATTTACAGCACTAAAAAAAGCATAAATGGCCCGACAAAATTGAGGAAATGAATGAATTACAGTCTCTGTAAAGTGATCAACTTTCCAATCTCAGGTGGAATAGATCCTGAAAAGTTGTTTCCTTCAATAGACCTGGAAAGGTAGAATGAGTTGTTGTATTCAGTTTAAGTAAAGAAAATAAAAGTTATTCTATATGAAATCAGTTTAAGAGTTCTCATACAGGTTGGTGAGGGTGGTGATGTTGGTGAGAACTTTCGGGAATGGACCAGATAACCGGTTCCCCATGAAAGAGCTGCAAAATCGAACTAACATAAGCATACATACATACATTAATCATAGTTGACATTACAAAGGGAGAAATCAATGATATGATGTTTACAGCGCTTCCAACTTCATTGTCGCCCATTCTCGAGGAATAGAACCGGTGAAGTAATTGCGACTTAGGTCACTAAACAAGAAGAAACAAAGTAGAATCAATAATAACAATGATTATCTAGATTCGTAAGAACAAAGTGAATGAAACCATCGTAAGAACAAAGTAGTGTAATCGTTCAAGCTAGCTGTGCAAAATGCAGTTGCTTACAGCAGTTTCAGGTTTTGAAACTTGGAAAACTCTGGTGGCAAAGTAGCTGATATGTTCGTGGCAGTTAAGAGTCTGCAGAAACTTTCAGCACCGAATTAGAATACCTTGGCAAACAAGAAACACTGACATTAATTTCAACAAATTCACTGATTAATACGCCAGAAATATACAGTAGTTTCAATTATGGTAAAAAAAAGTTCCCATTGAGCAAATAAATCTGCTATCAATTTCATCAACAAATCAAACAGATGATACGTGTTACCTACTTTGCTAATCTAATACAAGGCTCTTCTTAAAGTTATTACACATATAAAATATAAATAAATTCAATATAAACATATACCAGGGTTTTCTATTATAAATAGAGATGTAACCTAGACCTAAAATATCATTGAATAAAACTTCTAGCGCCGCCTAGGCACTGATGACGTAAGCACATTGCCGAACCTCGTAAAATTCTCGTGTTCTTTTGTTTTCTTTACCCGTTTTCGTCAACAATTGGTATCAGATGTCAGGAGAAAAATTCGAAGTCGCGAAATTCGATGGTCAGGGTAACTTCGGATTATGGCAAACGAGGGTGAAGGATCTATTGGCGCAGCAAGGGATCTTGAAGGCTTTGCGACCTTCAAAGCCGGCGTCGATGGATGAGAAAGATTGGGAAGAATTGCAGCAGCGAGCGGCAGGAACCATACGATTATGTTTGGCGGACGAGGTCATGTATCACGTCATGCATCTATCGTCTCCAGACGAAATTTGGAGGAATTTGGAAAGTCAGTTTATGTCCAAATCCTTAACGACAAAACTGTATCTGAAGCAGCGGCTGTATGGGCTGAAGATGCAGGACGATCACGATTTGGCGCAACACGTGAATGTCTTCAATCAAATCGTTTCTGATCTGGCTCGGCTTGATGTGAAAATTGAGGATGAAGACAGAGCGATGATTCTGTTGTGTTCGTTGCCTCCCTCTTACGAACACATGGTGACTACTCTTACATATGGGAAAGAGACTATCAACATTGAGGAGATTACTGCAGCCTTGTTGGCTCACAACCAGCGGAAGCAGAATGCAGGGGAAAGCTCTCAAGCCGATAGCTTATATGTCAAGGGTAATCGAGATCGTGGACGGAAGCCAGAGAAGGCAGGGTCCGGGAAGCGGAATTCCAGATCCAAATCCAGGGATAAGAAGACGATTCACTGTTACAAGTGCAAGGAGGCGGGACATATGAAGCGAGACTGTCCGAAGTTGAAAAAGCAGACTGATGAGAAGCGTGATGGCTCATCGAAGTCTGTGAACGTGGTCGAGGATGATAATTCTGATTGCAGTGAGGGTGATATGCTTTCTATTTCAACGACACAATTGACGGATGCTTGGATTCTTGATTCTGGATGTTCTTATCACATCACGCCAAATAGGGAATGGTTTTCGACATACAGGCCGGTTAATTCTGGTTCGGTTTATTTGGGTGATGATCAATGTTGCAATATTGTTGGTATTGGTGATGTCAGAATTAAGATGCACGATGGCTCCGTTCGGACGTTGAGTGGTGTTCGACATATCCCAGACTTGAAGAAGAATTTGATTTCCTTGGGCACTTTGCACAAGAATGGTTTTATTCCTAAGGCTGACGAGGATAGGGAAACCATTCGGATTGTTAAAGGAGCATTGACTTTGATGAAAGGCAAGATGACTGCAGGGAATATCTACAGATTGTTAGGGAGTACCGTTGCAGGTGGAGTTCACTTTGTTGAGTCCTGTGATGATACGACAAAATTGTGGCATATGCGCCTTGCTCATCTTAGTAAACGTTGTATGGCAGAATTACACAAGAGAAACTTGTTGCATGGTGTCAAAAGCTGTAAGCTCGATTTTTGCAAGTATTGTGTTCTTGGTAAACAGACTAAAGTCCGTTTTAAGACTGCGAAGCACACAACTCAAGGGATTCTTGATTATGTGCATTCTGATGTATGGGGGCCTTCCACGACATCGTCTTTGGGTGGATCTAGGTACTATGTTACTTTTATTGATAATTTTTCACGGAAAGTTTGGGTGTATTTTTTGAAATAGAAATCTGAAGTTTTTGAAAAGTTCAAGCTGTGGAAAGCTGAGGTAGAAAACCAAACAGGACGAAAAGTCAAGTGTTTGCGGTCTGACAATGGTACGGAGTACACAGATTCACAATTCCTATAATTCTGTAAGGAGCATGGGATTCAGAGGCATTTTACAGTGCGCAAGACACCACAATAGAATGGTGTTGCGGAATGAATGAACAGGTCATTGAATGAAAGAGCCAGATATTTGCGGTTGAATGCGGGGCTTCCCAAACACTTCTGGGCTGAGGCTGTTAACATGGCGTGTTACTTTATCAACAGATCGCCAAGGGCATCGCTGGCTGGGAAAGTTGCAGAAGAGGTATGGACTGGTCATAATGTTAGTTTTGAGAACTTACGGATTTTTGGTTGTCCTGCTTATGTGCATGTACCTGCTGATGAGAGATCCAAACTTGATGCAAAATCGAAGGAATGCATTTTTCTGGGTTACAAGAAAGGTGTCAAAGGATTCAAGTTCTGGGATCCAGTTTCGAAGAAAGTTGTGATTAGTAGAGATGTCGTTTTTGATGAACAGTCCATGTTGCAGCAGAAGAAAGACACGACAGTGGTGGATTTCGAGCAGTTTCCAGTTGAGAAACCAGAAACTTCTCAACCGACTTCTGGTGGTTCCACTACGGATGATTTGCAGGATTATAGTCTCGCCAGAGACAAGGTGAGACGGAAGAATATAAAGCCTCCGAACAGATTGGGTTTTGAAGACTTGGTATCTTTTGCACTTATTGTTAGCAGTGATGATCCGATTACTTTTCATGATGCCGTTACTAGTCAGGAAAACGACAAGTGGATGGCAGCCATGGTTGAGGAGATAGAGTCTTTGAATCACAATCGCACATTGGAGTTAGTTCCCCTTCCTGAGGGTAAGAAGCCGATTGGTTGCAAATGGGTGTATAAGAAGAAACCAGCAGTAACAGAAAAAGAGGGGGAAAAGTTCAATGCTCGTTTGGTAGCGAAGGGTTTTTCACAGCAGAAAGGAGTTGATTATGATGAAATCTTTTCTCCTGTGGTCAAGCACACTTCAATCCGAGCAGTACTTGCATTGGTGGCTAGTTGGGATTTGCATTTAGAGCAGTTGGATGTTAAAACTGCTTTTTTGCATGGTGATTTAGAGGAGCAGATCTACATGCGACAACCTGAAGGTTTCACTCAACCTGGAAACGAGCATTTAGTTTGCAGATTGAAGAAATCTTTGTACGGGTTGAAACAATCTCCGAGACAGTGGTATAAACGGTTTGACTCCTATATGATCAAGATTGGCTACAACCGATGTGAGTATGATTGTTGTGTCTATGTTAAGAGCCTTGATGATGATTCTTTTATTTTTCTATTACTGTATGTTGATGATATGTTGATTGCTGCGAAGAACATGGATGATGTTATCGGTTTGAAAACTTTATTGAGTCAGGAATTTGATATGAAATATTTAGGTGCTGCAAAGAAAATTCTTGGAATGGAAATTTGCAGGGACAGAGACTCAAGGAAAGTGCGGCTATCTCAACGGGGTTATGTTGAGAAAATGCTAGAAAGGTTTGCGATGAGCAGCGCGAAACCAGTTAGCACTCCATTGGTGAATCACTTTAAGCTCTCATCAGAACAGTGCCCTAAGACAGATAAGGAAGCTGAAGATATGGCAAAGGTTCCGTATTCTAATGCTGTTGGCTGCTTGATGTATGCGATGGTATGTACTCGTCCTGATTTAGCTCATGCTGTTAGTCAAGTTTGTAAGTACATGTCTAAACCTGGTAAGCAACATTGGAAAGCAGTCAAGTGGATCTTTCGGTACTTAAAGGGTACTGTGGGACATGGAATTGTTTTTGGGAGTCAGCGGGATAATCCTTTGGTTGTAGGATATGTGGATTCAGACTATGCAGGTGACTTGGATAATAGAAGATCTACGACAGGGTATGTCTTTACTCTTGGTGGAGGGCCTATTTGTTGGAAGTTTACTGTTCAATCTGTTGTGGCTCTATCTACAACTGAAGCTGAGTACATGGCAGCGGTTGAAGCTGCAAAATAAGCTTTATGGCTTACTGGTTTAGTGAAGGAGTTGGGTGTTCAACAAGGTGGAGTTCAGTTGCTTTGTGATAATCAAAGTGCTATTCACTTGGCTAAGAATCAGGTGTATCGTGCTAGAACTAAACATATTGATGTAAGGTTCCACAAGATCAGAGAGTTGGTTGCATCTGGAGAGGTTTTGTTTCAGAAGGTACATACTGATGAGAATGCCGCTGATATGTTCATCAAGCCAGTTACGACAGACAAGTTCAAGCATTGCTTGGACTTGTTGAATGTTTCGAGTTGTTAAAGAAGCAAGGTAACCCAACCCACATTGAAGTTTCCAAGGGGCAGGATATTCGCCAAGGTGGAGATTTGTTAGGTATGACTCATAAATATACCAGTAAAGAGGACAGGAGATGGAGCGGAGTGAGCGAAGCAAACATTAACTGTCCTTACAAAGAAAGTCTCGTTGTGGGGTTACGAATTATGTGGGTTGGGGGTGCGGTACGGTACAGGGTTGATTTTGTAATTATGTACCAGGGTTTTCTATTATAAATAGAGATGTAACCTAGACCTAAAATATCATTGAATAAAACTTCTAGCGCCGCCTAGGCACCGAGGACGTAAGCACATTGCCGAACCTCGTAAAATTCTCGTGTTCTTTTGTTTTCTTTACCTGTTTTCGTCAACACAGGTAATACAATGGCTAATGTTTGAGCCCCCAAGGGCTACTGTCTGAATTTGGACTCTACTACATATAGTTATTTTTCTTCTTAAAAAAAACTTAAAAACTTTTGTAAATATATAAATAAATTCATAAATAACAACAGACATGGTATGATTAAATACTAATTAAAATTTATATTATTTTAATAGTAGCCGTTAAATTCAGGTATCACTTGTTCCGGTTTCCCAGCCTGAAAGTAAATTTTGTCGTAAAGAGTAAGAGAACTACAGTTAACTTATCAGGAACCTTGAATTAGAAAAACCAACATCTTTGAAAGGAAATCTATGAATAAATAAAGGAATTCATTTGATGTATAAAGAAAGGAACAGGAGTGAACAACCGACAAAGTTGGAATTTTTTTTGAAAAACTATGAGTTTTCAGATACCGTGCTTCCACCAAAATTGAATCTTGTCCTATTCCAAGGTTGAGCATTTGAAGTTTCAATTAAAATATAAGAAAAAAATAAAAGCAACCTAAGTAAAGAGTCCCAACCAACTAGAGTAGAGACTGGGGAAGAAGAAAGAGTAAAGAGAGGATGTACATGGATACAACATGGCAAGTGGAGTTATTGTTGAAGGAACAATCGCAGGTGACATTGCTTGCAAAACCAGTAGCATCATCTCCCTGCATCACCCAATTCCCTTTGCCACCGCATGGATCTACCCCAAAATTCCAATCCTTCTTCCCCAGCTTCTTCCCTATTGCTTTCAATGCCTTCACTGCTTCACCAATACAACAACAACCAAATTGATCAGAAAAAAACTCAAACTTTAGATGAGCTGAAACTTTGGGAATATATATTAATATACCTTCTTGAGGATGAAGAGTAGTTGCAGCAGCTAATCCAGAGCTTGCAAAGCTAACCAATGCAATGACAGATGAAAGCTTGAGAAGTAGGTGAAGCTTTGGAGCTGTCAAAACATCTATTCCCATGTGGGTTTATCTTGGATGGAGCTAATCTCAACTCCAACTTCAGCTTTTCAAATTCATCAGATTCAGATACACAGACACACTCAAGTTCCTTTTTTCCCCCTTAAATGTAAGGGAGGAGTTTATTCCAAATTCTTAAGGGTGTTTGATTCGGGAAGTATGAGAATACTGGGAATGAAATCTCATTTTCCGTTTGGTTAGGTCAACATTCTTAGCACCACGTAATTTTTTATTAGTAACATTAGTATTTTGAAGGTATATTATTAGAAATGTGTTTATCATTCTTTCTTTAGGTTTTGTTGGATTATCGGCGTTTTGAATTAATATGACCTTAAATTTTTTTTCTCAAAAATATCATTTTTTTGTCATTGAATAATAAAAATTCTTCAAATATTAAATTATAAATTTATCCTTAAACTATTTTAGATTTACAAAAAAATCTATAATTAAAATTTTATATGAAATTCAGGGGTTAAAATAAAATTTTACCCTATCATTAAACCTATTTATCTTTTTAATTTTGTAAAAAAAATTATATAAATTTTATGAATTTAAATTTTTTAAAGAAAATATATAAATTAATTATAGTAATATTATAATAGAATTCAACTTATTAAAAAATATATAATAAGGACAATTTGAAAAAGATATATATTCTAATAATCTTTTATTCATTTAACCAAACATTGTAATCTTACATTCCTGCTAAACTAACCAAACACAAAATACAATATTTCTAGTAATCTTATTCCTGTCGGTAGTCTTATTCCCACTAATAATCTTACATTTCGTGAACCAAACGCATCCTAAGAGGAGGTTAGTGGATGTGAATGTATAGATAAAACTAAAAGACTCGCTATTGGTCAGAATTATCCTTTTGGTCACCTTTCATATTTATGTAATATACATGGAATGCCGTGTGCATTTGTGCAAAGGGTATACCAATTTGAGTTTACTTTATAATTGCGGGAAATTATATTAATTTATATAGTTTTTTTTTTTGGTTGAACAAGGAGACTAATCTAAATCATTGTCTAATTAGTGATATTTCTCCAGTTGTATTCTTCCGGCTACCGCTTCAGGAGGCTGAGAAAATTCTTGCGATCTGTTCTGGAGAGTCCATGCAAGCTTGGCGAGAGTATCTGCAGCCTTGTTTACGTCTCTTGGAATATGCTCGAATCGATTGGGACATTCATTTTCAGACACAATTTAATATGTGATGGAATCAAGTTTGAAGTTGAGGTCCAAATCTTAAGTAATATTTCACTAATAAAAAATGATAAATTATTCCAATAATCACCAAATTATTATTATTATTCTGCTCAATTTTTTTAAATAAAAATATCAGTAACCCTATTTTTTCTTAGTCAATGTTCATTAAAAACTTAACAACGACATTGATAAGGATTTTAAATTGATGACATTTACTTGTTAATTTTTTCATATTGTAAATTTATTACTGTTGATTTAATTATGTTGTGTTTATTTTCGTGTAGAATTTTATTTTTCAGAACGAGCATTAAAGAGAGTGTATATGTATTTTTTTATTTGATCACGACTACATACATGAGTCCAACATTGGTATTCCACGATCTAATGACGTAACAGTTTTTAGAAAGTCATTATCAGTAGTAAAGAGGGCTCACTCCTTTTTTTTTTTTTTGAAGTCATATTTTTCATCTTTCAAGAGCCATTGCTGCATTTTCGAAAGGAATATTAGGAAGAGAGGGTCTTAGTTTGTTACCTTGTTTTGTTCGGGTTTTCGCCGGAGTAGAGAGACTATCTCTTTCGAATTATTGAAGTTGATAGTGTGAACAGTCGAAGTTAACTTTTAGGGGGTTATGAGACTTGGGTTAGTTCTTAGATTTTTAGAGATAAAAAGAAGGTGGCTATGGGTTCATAAGGTTGGGTCTTTGGTGAGCCCGACCACCTTGGATGGTGGTCGGAGAGTAAAACGTTTCCAATATGTAGCAAACTAGTCTCGATCGAAGAGGATAAAAGAGATTAGGGAAAAGAAAAGGGGCTTACCTGGTCGTTTAATCCTTCGATGGTTTACACCGACCATGCTTTGAAAATCTTGGATGAGAGGCGGTTGAATATGGGAAACAAATTAAGAGGGGAGATAGCATGTTAGGTTTAGTTTTTATGCAAAACAAAGCAGAATGGGGTTCTAATTTTCGCGGTTTTAGCTAGGGATGTAAAATCGGTTAACCTTCAGGTTTCAGTCGGATTCTGTCAGGTCGGGTAAATTCAGATACATGTCAAATTAGATAAATTTGATGCTTCGACTCAGATCAGGTCGGGTCTATGTCAAATCAGGTTAGGTCATTTTCATGTTGATTTAACATCAGGTACAATTCGAGTTCAAGTCGAGTTACTTTCAGTTCAGATCAGTGTCTGTTCAGGTCAAAATAGTTTAGGTCTGGAACAATTAAAGACCAGGTTAATTTAGGTTCGATGAACTTCAGGCGGATCTCGTTCAGATCAGGTCACATCATTGGCAGATAAAATTGAGGTCGGATCTTTTCAGATACGGATTGAGTTCAAATAGGGTCAATTTTTATTTTTGTCTTTCGCTAACGTTGAATTGCAATTTGTAATTGTATATGATTTAGAGTAAATTACGAAGAATATAAATAATCATGTGTCAATTTTATGAAAAATATAAAATTGAGGACTAAATTGAACAAATATGAAATTATAAGTAAAAATTTAAATAAATTAAACAACACACGTTGATGAGGGATCAAATCGAAATAATTTTAAAATGTGAGGTTGAAATTAATATAAAAAAAATACTAAATTATACTCATTTAAAAAGTTATGGACCGATTAAAATATAAATAAGTAATAAGTATAGGCCAATTTCAGATGCAAATATAATTTGAAGGACTAAATTGAACAAATATGAAATTACAAATAAAAATTTAAATAAATTAAACAACTTAAAGGGATCAAATCGAAATAATTGTAAAATATGAAAAAAAGCTATAAAGTAGACTAAATTACATTCATTTAAAAAGTTGAAATTTTTTTGAAACAACTAATATATATATATATATATATATATTAATATAAACTATATAGTGTATATTTAAAGTATATATAAACATATATATTATATATAAACTATATAGTTTATATATAGTATATATGTTTATATATAGTTTATATACATCGGGACTGTTGGATTTTAAACTCGGACAGAGCCTGCAAAACAAACATCGGACAAGCGACAACAAGATGATTGATTAGAGATGAGAACGGGAGTTGGATAAAAATGTTTATGATAAACATAGGGAGAACTACCAGCGTAATGGCAGAACTGTGAGAGATACGACAGGTGCTCGCCAAATAATCAGGAGTAAATAAACTCGTTGTGGAAACTGACACAAAATTGGTAATCGAATCCCTTAACAAAGAGACGGTGAATGATATTTAAAAGGAAGTGATTTACAGAGAATGTGAAGAGCTAAGAAAAGAGGGATGAATACTGGATATTAGACATATATGTAAAGAAGGGAACCGATGTGTTGATCGTCTCGCTAATCTGGTATTCGAGAAAGAGGGGGAGTTCACATTCTGGACAACCCACCAGAAGAGATAATAGAGTTGTTATAAAGGGATTTAAAAGGAGAATGTGTTAAAAGATGGTAGGCTATTATCGATAGCCACTTCGTTTGTACCAAATATATATATACTACTATCTATAAACTATATAGTTTATATATAGTAGTATATAAACTATATATAAACCATATATACTATATGTAAACTATGTATATTATATAGTTTACATATGAACTATATGTATAAACTATATATATATTATGTAAACTATATAATATATATAGTTTGGTAGTTTACATATGAATTATTTATATAGTTTATTAATGAACTATATAAACTATTTATATAGTATATGCTACATATATAAATTATATATATAAACTATATACTATAGTTGATATTTATATACTATATTTACATTATTACATATGAACTATATATAAAAACTATATATATATATAAACTATATTACATATATAAACTATATATTATATAGTTCATTAGAATACATAAACTATATAGTATACATAAACTATATATTATATAGTTCGTTAATATATATAGACTATACATTAATTTATTAATATAAACATATATATTAATTGAAAGAATTGGAAAATATATAAGGATCAAATTGAACAAATTTTAAATATGAAGCTTAAATTAATAAATTACAACATTAAATTTGGACTAAATTGAACAAATTTTAAATATAAAGCTTAAATTAATACATTGCATCATTAACTTTGGATTAAATTGAACAAATTTAAAACTAAGGGATAATGCTACAATGCCAAATGAAGTTAAAAAGCACAGGAGTCAAAACCCAAAACTCACACGAACCTGTATAAAAGCCAAAATTTTTCCAATTTCAACCATTTTCCTTTCTTTTCTCATTTTTGTGATTTTGCTCTCTTTAATTCTCTTATTCTCTCAAAATTCTTTGACTTCTCTATACAAATTTATTTGTGTTCATCATTTTTTCATCCGTGTTCATCCCAAAAATCCTCATTTGATATTCACAAACACCAAAACCTAAACCATTTCCTTTTTTCAATCAATAACCCAAAAATTCAACCATTGCTCATCCGTGTTCATCCCAGTTCTTCCCCAAACCATTATTTGATATTCAAAAACACCAAAATCTAAACTCATTCCTATTTTTTTTCGATCAAACACCCAAAAATTAAACCCTTGTTCATCCATGTTCTTCCCCAAACCCTTACAAACACCTAAAACATAAAACCAACTTGTTTTTTTCGATCAAACACCAAACTCAAACACCAGTTCATCCATGTTCATCCCAAAACCCTTATTTGATCCTTACAAACACCAAAAATCTAAACCCAAATTGTTTGTTTATATCAAACCCATAACTTTTCATCTTCTCTAACCCGAACCAGAATCTAAACCCAAACTCAAACCTGAACCCAAACCCAAACCCAAACCGAGCTTATTCACTTTCTGTCTCTGTTCATCATGTCTAATCCTAAACCCTAACCTA